ATCTTCGGCTACAGAGTTCAACAATACTTGTTCGGATTTCAGTTAGACATATTTCCTTTACTGATTACTGTTAACACGTACGAAGTACAACTATCTAATAAATAATCCAAAGTTTTTGTTTATTTCTGAGATAAAACGCAAAATCTTATGCAACTCACAAAGCATCCAGATACAGAAACTAATTCATTTAACAATCTCATATTTCCCGATTATAGTTTTAATGACCAGACAATGGAAGCGACTCAAAAAGTAAACAAATTAAATTATCTGAATTCGAAATAAAAAATTAGAAAAAAAAAACAAATTATGCTCTAAGAAAGCAAAACACAAATTGTACACTACCTTAGTTCACTTAATTCCACTGATTGTTGCATTATAGGATAATCTACGGGAGAGAAAATACGGTCATTTTGTATAACGTGAATAAAACGAGAAATTAAACACATATCTAGACTATCTATAAAAAAATTATTTTGGATCAACATTATACTGAACGGTATAGCAGATTATAAACTCAAGTATAGAATAATAAATCATACCACATAATTTCGAAATACATATTTAGAAAAAGCACCTGTTTTGGCATTCATGCCAAATCATCCAAGTCAACTCGAAAACATGTCCCTAATTGTAACGCAAAGTGATGAAAATGGTAATATCTGAGAGAGTATAGTTACTGTTTCAATATCGGCATTTATACATATCATTAACAAACACAAAACCCGCATCCAAGAATGTATTTTTGTGGCCCGAGATATGACTCCAGTTAGGTCGCAAGTATGATTGTTATCGAAATATACATCCTGGTTATCCTCGTATATGATTATCGACTCTATTCGCGTTAGTGAATAACGGATTTGAAATGAGTCAAATACGAGAACGGATTTTTGAATACATATATTTTTACACTAATTGATTTAAACAGACAATCAGAGGAATGAAGCGAAATGATGCATAGTGGAGATGGCGTGTGAGCCAACTCCAATTAGTCAAGGGTTAATCAATATTTACAGTCATACAAAAATAAACTAGAGAAATGTGATGAGTAGGATTGATACACACACATACGCTCATATGAAAACAGTCAGAGTTGATAAGTGAGTAATTAACAAGGTCAAAATGTGACTCAAGTATAATGGATAAATTGGCCTGTCCAAGAGCTAGAATAAGTCATATGGGCTTAACATAGTGACCGATACTACAGTGTCTCCGATACCATCAAGTTTTACGTTACTTTTAGACAAGTTGAGTTCAAACAAATAATTATACAAACAAATGACCAAGCACAAACAATTTTTATGCAAAATTGTAAACTGATAGATTATATGCGCACTTTCAGACAACAGATGAGTACAATTTAGGCGTTTCGTTAAATACAAATTATGAAAAAGACCTAACATGAACAGCTATTTAGTGTTCCTTATAAAAAATTTATTTTATTTACAAAATGAATTTCTATAAACGTTCGTTGTAATTTAGTTTAAATGGTAAATTCCCTAAATTTAAAATTTTGTTTTAACATGACTTGTCATTTGGTGTTTGTTATAAGCTACGAACGCCCAAATAAATTTTTACAAAGCAAGACAACAGACGAAGCGTTATGAAAAAGGAAAATGAAAACCAATAAGTTAAATGTTCAAATACTACTAGACAAATGAGGCACATTCTTAAATTAAACGCAAATACTCTTGAATGAATGAATTCGGACTAGTATATTTAACGCAAACATAAACCGCATATATACCTGAAATATATTAGTAGTATTGTCGAACACTTAGTGGTAAGTCCCCCGATTATGATATTGGTTTGTCATTAAAGTAGTAAGAATATATTCTGATGTTATATCTTATTTGTGGTGTTCACTACATAAATTTAGTCTTTCTACGTTGAATATACCTGAAACAGTAATTATAGACTGAAGAACGTAAATTCTACATAGAAAAACCAAACAAGGGGAATATTCTTCATAGATTTCATATAATTTGAATTAATTTATCCTTTCAGTAATGACGCACAGGTTTGTTTACTAAGATTTGAAACACTTTCACTGACAAAGAGACTGAAAAACCACTCTGCCATATACAGTTAAGTATCACAAATTTTGAACCTACATTTGGACAATCAAAAGGTAGGTGGATAAATCACTGAGTTATATCATTATGGTCTAATAAATTTGCCTACCGACTACATTGACTGAGATGTCTTACGATACATTCTGTCATTGAAAGATAGACGTAAATAAACTTTCTGAAGGCTTTTTACTTAATTATCAATGATCGAGTTAACGTTTATGGAAATTGTCAACGGAATTGACGAAATCAAGACTGCCTACTTTCCTCCATTTTTGATTACCTTTGTCGTAGACAGTTTTATAGAGATGATACTTCACCAAACTGCTTAGGGATGAATCTCCTACAATAAGATTTCCTATTTGATCTAGAGTGCGTAAATGACAGACACATCCAGCAATGGGAACGAAAAAGTGCTCTCTTTTGGACACCCAAAGTACAATTGTAGGGACATTTGAAATGAGTTTTTATTATTTCTCTTATTATGACCCAGCTACTTTTATTGCTTAGTATTCTTAGACATCGCTTTACTCGACAATCCCCAAATCAGAAAATGGTTGGACAGTAACGTAATTATATTCCAAATAAACAAGATTGAATGAAAGTAGGAATCACAATAAGAACGCTAGTATATTTATAACTTTTGCACAAGATAATTTTAGAATCTTTGCCAAGTATCCGCTAGCGCTGATCGGTTAAGAAAATAACCAGTCAGTATGCTCTGACATAACGCTGCACGGAACATGCTTTCATACTATCTATATCCCTCTAAGTTTCTTTCCCTATAAATGAAAATATTACTTCCGCACCGGTCTGTATCAACTAATATTCTGGCCATAGGCTGAAAAGCAGTCAAACACGTCGAGCACTCCACTTATCTTGGAAGTCTTGTCAAGCATTGTAAGCGGGTGTCTGATAAAAGCTCGGCACTTATTTGAAAAAGCTTACCTATCTTGCGTCAATTTGTGCCACTTGTGGAGTGAGGGAGAAGTTGGTCTGTCAAGTGTAGTGAGCTCAAACACCATCTGTACAGCTTAGTTGCACTCAATTTCTGTTCCCTGAAATTTTGAGTTCAGTATCGTTCCTAACCTTTCATTCCTCAATCCTGAATTTTATCCTTTGAAATAATATTTTTTATGTTTACATTTTTATTGCTTTTAACGCTTCCCATTCTATGCTTCACATCTTGTTGAATTCCTCCCAATTTGCTGATGTAGTTTGCGACCTCATACCGATGCACACTCTAACCAGGTCCTATGCTGATGATGATTAAATGACAGTACACCGGTTATTGGGGGACTTCCTGTGAATCTACATATCGTATTGACGTATGCTATATGAATTTTTTTCAAACAACTGGTATGATGTTATACTTAGAGAAGTTACCTCAGTCAGTCAGTCACAACGTAGAACTTCGTACGTTCGTACATCAGTTCGAGTTGCCATACCACATTAGCACAGAGATGTAATTGTCGATTCAAATCCCATAGTGGTAGAGGTAGTAAAAGTATAAGCAGTGATCGGAAAGATTAGGTTTTGAACATGTTATTCAAGGAGTATAATCCAGTGAAATAAATTTGGAAAGACAGAAGTTACTTATTAAAAATGCACTAAAGACTAGGTAAAACACTAACATTTACACACGAAAAAGCCAATTCGTAAGGCAGTTGGATGGTATTAAAATAAGTAAATACAAACCAATTAAAGATTGTGTGACTGAAATAAAAAACTTTCTAGCTTAGTTAAGGAAACTAATATTTACATTCATTTGATGTTGTATTAGTACAAATAGCTAAGTTTAATACATATAAAGTTTTATTTATTTGTTAAGAAAATGCCTGATATAAGTGATGAATAGTATTACGATATATTGTCATTTATCATGTTTAAAAACAATAAAAAAACCAGTTTGAATTTTAAGACCAAGTTGGTCTTTTGATAGCATTAGAATCCAAGAAAGATATTCCATCTCATTTGACAAACGTCAACTAAATTCCGAGGTTGATAACTTATAAGAGCACTCAGAATGCAGACTATCATATTGAAAATAAAACGGATTAAACACCAGTTTGTGTCAACATTTGGCGTCATGATTAACCATAATTTGTAACTAAACGATAGCAGTACACAACTGAGACCCAATAATAAGGTCAATTAATTCACTCAGAAAAACACTATGGTACAACCACAAAATACCAGTAACGGTGATCTGTCGAGTAATTTTAAGCAAACTATGTAAAACATACCTCCTTTCAATTAGTTATTCCGATGATCGCTTTTCTTGAAACAAAAGCTTCTTTATAGTATGTTTTGAGGATAATTTTCACCATAAACAAGAATTATTTGCAGGATTACTAAAAGGAACAACTGTCCAGTAGTCCCATATCTCTAACGTACTTCAAAATGACGTCAGCTCATGATGAAAATCTTCACAAATACAAGATACCTTTAACTAACAGGTACTTAGGTAACTACGAAATCTCACAATTTATATTTGTGATTTATGAATTAAGGTTGTAGTTGTGAAGGATTTACTGGGAACAATTCTTCTTAAAATGATTTGACTTATTTACAGCTTTTGCAGAATACAATCTTAATTTATTTAATCGTTGCTCAGTTTGACTATTTTTGTTGGATTAATAAACCCAGTATTGCATCGAACAACAATAATGGTTTTGGAAAATCTGACTTTTATTTGAGAGCGAGTTTAAAATATGAATCAGACTGTTTTTGAATCAAGATTTGATCATTTTGAAAAATTTCACAATTATTTTGATAAGCTGAATTGCACGGTAGTGTAATCACAGTATAGGCGAGAAGTATAATATTTACCAAAATTATTTTATGGAAAACAATTCAAATGTAAGCCAGACCACAATAATGATGGATTTATTAACTGTGATTTTCAAAGTTAGAATAAAAAAGTCTTACCATTTATCCGATCATAATCAGTATCATTTGTGTCTGTCATGTTTGCACAAACAACTGAGGCCAGAACTTGTGCGAAAATGATAAAATTGAGACATAAGAATGGTCTTCGCAATAAAAATGTGTCTGGTGTTCTACACGTGAAATCAGCATTAATTGCTAAAAACATATTTGAATGTCCCATGAACCCTGGATTCGAAAATAACAGAATAGCTAAGTATCGAAGAAATTTGTCTTGTGATTGCTTGTTAGGCAATCAAATTGATGATATCTACAAAAAAGAGGGCTTAAATGCCCTTATACAGACAACAGAGATATAGTTCAATGCGTAATAAAAAACTATTGAGAAATCAAAGCAAATTAGTTCGAAAAGCAAACAGAAATAAAGAGACGAGAATTTATGTTTTCCAGTTTTTATCAGGGTGGGGATTTGTGGAAATTGTAGTAGTCTTAATAGTTGCATTAATGAATTGATCTAAGCTAGACCACCATTGAATACCTCGAAGCGTTGGACAACCGTTCCGTCCTAGCATAAGACTCCTCAGCAGAGCGCATTCACGATCCTGCATGTGGGACTGGAACCCAGGACCCTCAGTCTTACGAGTGAGAAGCCGTTACTAATGGGGGTCCAATCCGTGTCGGGTAGAGACAGATATCTACCTAAGACAATTGATAAAGGGTTGATCAAAAACATGGATCGATTGGAGTTAGATATCAACACTATTGGGATGCCTGATCAGTGGTCTAGATGTTAAGCGTTTGTGCGCGAGACCGAAGGTCCTGGGTTCGAGCCCCGCGTGCGGAATCGTAGATGCGCACTGCTGAATAGTCTCATACCAATATGAAAAGGCCATCTAGTGTTTTTGGTTTTATCAATATGGACAAAAAGGTACGAAATAATCAAATGAAGAACACCATCAGACAGGTGAAAATGTACCAAAAATAACCTAATTTAAAGAGAATGAATATATTGCTACCAATGTAATTTGCAATGAGTCATATCATGGCACCTACCATTAGTCATTTTGAAACCTTAATATTTTTGACCAAACATTTATGCGTTACTTAGACACTAGATACTTAATGGTTTCGCCCTATGTAAATGATACTTGAAAACACTGATGACAGAATCTCGAAGGCGTTAATTGTCAACTATCATTTATAACGTCGCATTATCAGGTAGCAACTTTTTCATGTAACCTAGTAATCAAGTACATGCTTGTGTACATGATGCTGAGACACGTTAATGTTGGTAAGCCATTACTTAAATTAAGGGAGGTAGAGGAGGATTTAAACTACTGACTCAATAGTTAATAGTCAAGTGTTTTAGCCGCCAAACCACAATACTAGAACAGTGTTTCTTTAAAGAACATTCGGCAACTGACAAGCATATGAATACTTTGTCGGCAATACAGATGGTCCCAACTGTTGAATGCTAATTTAGTCATATATATGACGAGATTTTGTCGCGGTAATGTCATTCGAACGAGTGAAATAGTCAAGTGCTCGAATTGTGAATTTTTTCGGCGTTTCCCCTTAACGAGAGAAAATAGTGACTAAAGTTTGGAAAATCAAATGATCCGGACGTTAGCTCGCTACAAATTAACACAAATTCAGACAATAACACTTTCACATATTCATTGACTGGTTTGTTTTTAATACTAAGCCTCTTACACTCAGTACTTATGTAACGATCAAATGATGTTTTGAAAGTTTACGTGATTCTCATATTACTTACGAAGAATTTTGATAAAATCATACAGCACGACAGAGCAAACTAATGAGACATACATAGAACTCTTGACTGATTAGAAGAACACACATCACCTTTACTAGTGTCACAGCGTTTGAGTACTAACCGTCGATGATCAACGCATTATGGACAAAACAAATGACCAGTTCCGAAGATCGGTTATTGCATTCAGCTTTGATTAACAGAATGTTAGATATTAATATTAAACGGTTTATATAAAAATAATCACAATTAAAATACTTGCAAAATTCAGATGATTTTAAAGCCAATAACTTGAAAATTGCTGATTTTAGTAAAAACGGGATTTAATTACACCCCCTCTTAAGTTGTTAATTGAATTAATTCATGTTTGGCTAATTAAACCAAAATAAATTTCACAATGACAACCATTTCTACTGCAGAAAAGTGAATTTTCGTTTCTCACAGATGTAATCATCACTACACTTTGGACCCTAGAGATATAATTCCACTGTTCAGACGTTTTAAGAATTATTTATTTATTTATTTGAACACATAAATATTGGTAAAAAGGGGGAACCGAATACATATGCGCCACGTCAGGAGATGCAGTCTCATGGTAGCCGGTGACCAACAACTGGTTGAAAATTGATGAGGAAGCAAAGGATAAAAAAATGACTGGCACGAATAGCTTATCAACCAAGAAGTCTCCAGGCAGCTTTCATTTTGAGTCACAGGATAGCCTGTCAAATCTCTAAAGCAAGATTACAAATACACATAACCAGGAAGAAAATAGTCAAATAATCTGACTGCATCGCATGCATTTGACCCTGAAATTCGGTATGCATACGATTTAATTTGGAATATATATTTGTACCATTTTACCGGATAATTTACCAGTTCTGACAATATAGCTCATAAGAATGGGCAAAAGATTGAACAAAATGTCGACTCCCGATCATGTAGACTCCTTAAGGTCATTTTAAAGTCACGGACACAAAAAATCGTATGTTAAGTAGTAGTCGAAAGGAGGATTACACTAATATTCAAATAAAATCTTATATATCAATAGGTAGGATCAAAATACTGCTCTAGTTCTGCTAGTAACTCGTTGAAAAATTGATAGTTCAAGACAACTGAAACGACATAACAGACGAATTCAAAGGCAATAAGCGGACAAAATACAGTTGACATACAGGTTTTCTCGTCTCCATCAAATTTTGGAACCTACTACCGGGAGAAATAGTGTCATAACTTTCAAATGACCCACTCAATAAAAGTTGGATATTCACAGAAGCTTGTTGAAAATGTCTAATACAGGCCAAAGATATCCTATCATCAACACAAATCTGAATTGAAATACGAAACGTACTGTGAAGCAATGAGGACCTCAAGGTCACGACTATTTAAAATTGTACGACTAAGAAATGAGCGTCCGCTTTTCAATTAGATAATGTTAAAACACTCATCAAATTCTACAAAGTTGTGAAATTAGCAAACTAATAAAGGTTAGCTATTATGATGCAAACCAGAGGCACTTATTCCAGTACCAGGATTCTTAGTACAATAATTTTAAGGAGATTTAATCCAGTATCCAATGTTTTTGACCAGCTACTGTACATAAATTGGTTTTCCTATACCTTCTTCTTAGGGTCATAGTACAGTCCCAGATTTTTGATTTATTGAGTGATGAACTATTTCGCCTTTTGGTGACACCATTCTTGACGGATTTGATAGTTATTTAGAGACTCATACTTCTTGAGTATAGACGGATGTTGTTTTGCATGGTGGGTTTTCTCACATTATCGGCTGTAAGCTTGTTTGGCTGTTGTGCCAAGGTTGCGAAGTTGAACACGAAGAGGTGAAAAACAGATGCTGCTCAGAATGGTCAAGTAATTGATTGTGCAACAACTGCGAGCAATTGAATTTTAAGAATGACATAAAACGGAATTAACTGGGATGATGAGCTAAAGACTATTAAAATACTAGGAATACTAATCGTAGTAATGGCAGTGTATGGGATCTGCATCAGTTAGAGCCGTTCCATTTAACTTATTATTTTAAGCTTTCTTCTCGAAGCTCCCCATTGAGAGGGCTGTGGTGACGATTTCAGACAACTACCAACCGTAGTATGGAGAAGAATGTTGAATTGATTGGCTATTTGCCATTTGATGTGAGATTCATCGAGTCACTTCATGTAGCTTAGTGTTGAGATTCAAGAGAATGCTTTTGTTGGGGTGACGGCGTTTTAAAATATCGTTATTCTATGACCAAATCAACCAGAGATAACAATTTCAAGCAAGGTTATCTATCCTAATGAGGCCTGCTTTTCAAATCCATTACCCATTTTGTCTTCCGTTTCTGTGTTTGCTATAAGAGATAAAAAGATAGAGTTATAAGCTCCTTTAGTGTATGAGTTCGTATATATTCCTGCACCTGTTTATCAAAATTATTTTGTAATGACCTACTTTTGTCAACAGAACGCGATTGGTTCGATGAAAACAATTATTATTATAACCAATTGTACCAGTGATTGTTTTACTGTGCTCGTTTGTTTAACTGTGCTAATGACAGCCATTATACTTACTTACTCTCCCGTTGACTTTGAACTTGTACGAATCCGGTTACGCTCAGTAACCACACTTGTACTCCTTTGGCACGATCTCGGTATTCTTTCGATACCACGAGATCGCCAACAAATACATCTCGACTACAGCCATCATCTGTCTTCTGATTTTTGGCCTACCGGAATCTTATTGGTCTATTGGCACGTAGTCTTGTAGCGGTGTTCATAGTCAAGCTCAACTCAACACCACGCTACAATTTCATGAATAAACTTTACGTAACACTAAGTTCTTTTCTTTAGCTTTAAATGCAATGTTTTTATTTTCATGGCTTTCACTTATGATATTCCGTTTGTAACTGGCCCTGGACAAATTTTTTACTCCTCATTTCATCTGTAGCCTGGCTTTTGGCAAATCGACTTACTTGTTTTTACGATCTGGAAAAAGGTGACTACCATGTCAATTATTTAGGTTTGAATTGTTGGCGCCTGAACTGATTAAACTAAACGACTGTATGACGGTTTTCTTTTCTGATCGTCGATATTAATTTTCAGTTTATAAATAATCTTTTGCCTTTCTTAAAGTTTAATCACTTAATGTGCCTTTAAATTCTTTTCGGAACGACTTGTCGCTAAATAATTCTGTTGGTTGTATAACCTAATGATCTAATTAGTTTAGATATTTTGTATAATTCAAACATACAATCTGTATGATCAAAACGTAGCCAAACCATCGTCTTTTTAATTAATCCATGATAAAGGAATAGCGTATAACGTTCGCGACATGCTATGTCGACGCCTAGCTATATCGGCTTAGACGTAAGAGTTCAAAATGAACTGGAAACTTCATCAAGGTGTTTGGATCGAACCTAAACTTTTTAATGCACCTGGAATTTCGTCACCATAAGAC